TTTTTATGTAAGTCATCATTTTCCCTTATATGTTTTTTGGCTGATGTTAGATTGGTTTCCATTATCTAAATCTGATCAGGACATACCTATTATATATTAATTAAACACTTTTTATAAAACCTTTACATGAACATTACATAAAGCAACCAGTGCTCGTTTTATTTCTTGAAGTATAGTAAAACTAGATTTCCAATTACCCGGTTTATCAAATATTAAATATTTGTTTATGCTTACAGATCTTTCTGCCACCAACAAACCTTCATAAATTTGTTGTTTACATGCATTACATTCAATGATAAACTGTATTTAAAATAACCTAAGGCTTATTTTGTTTAAGCCCCTGTTCTCCTTTCCTTCATTTGTGATGTAGAATCCATCTTTCCTCTGTCAGGTTGGGAACTTTTGGCTGTGTGCGATCGATCAACATGCATAATTCATAGTTAGAGGGTTAAGAGCAGCTCTGCTTCTCTCTTACTGGGGCCCTTTGATTTTCATCTCTCTATCTGCCCCCCCTGAGGGAGAACTGCAGCCCTGCTGCAAAATGGCTTCACACACAGCTCTGATGTGTGGGCATTCATTCGTGTGCTCTCATAGAGCAGCCAGCGTGGGCAAACTTCACCCCAACATATAGATGTTTGGGTAGGAAGGTACTAAAGCTCTTCATAACATAACCAAACTGTGATGTTTATGGTTCTTTATGTCAGTAGGACTTAAAAAGGAGAGTCTAATCCATCCTCTGGAGACCCTTTAGGTCCCACATGCAACCAAAACTCTGCTATAGAATCAATTTTTGAATGTTGGTGAATTTATCATCCTGGCAGTTGTAGATAATGAACTAGATCTCCCCAGAATTACCTCAAAACAATCGACAAAACATGTTTGGAATTAAAAAGCGGAAGGTTTCTGATTCCAGTTCTCCTCTTGTGTTTTGATATTGTTAAAATTTGATAGACTTCAACTTCACATCAACGTCAACTTGAATCATCAGGCAGATTAATTAATGTCCAAGTGTCTGTGCAACCAAGCATCCATCTGTGTTTGCTTGACCGTACATAGGCCGAGCAGACAAGGAGAGCATATTTGTTGGTAAAAATGGTAGGTGAACTCCCTCTCAGGGTAAAATGGAGACACTATGTTCCTTTAGCTCCTTTGAGGAGAGCCCAAGATGTCTGCGCCATCCATGCTTTGCCATCTTTTCATCAATTCTAACTGGTTACTTTTTTTCTGCTCAAATTTTTTTAATCAAAAGTGATTTAATAGACATAACAATGCAGCTATACTGTGAAATTAATATTGAGCTGTTCTCCCACAGGTGAACGTTTAGTTGGGGGATAGTATGATGCACAGAAAGATATAGTTACGTTTATCACCACAACTTTCTGATACACATAGTATTTTTCTAAGCCAAAATTTTCTATAGTGGAGCATTAAGCTGCAGAACACCATCTTCCAGGTGTTTGCTGTGTCTGCTACATGACCTGTGGTCAATTCTTATTGCTTTTTGTCAAAAATAGTTTTTTACTATTCCTCCTTGAAGGTACAGGGCTACCAGCTGTCCTTCGGACAGTTTCTTCCTCTTTAGGTTATTGGTTGGACTGGATTTCCTTCTACTTCCGTCACAGTTAAGTGGGGTAAAATTTACCTTTCAGAGTTGTATTTTTAGAAACTCTAGGTCAATCAAAGGTCAATTCCCTCCCACTACTACCAGAGTTATGAACCTCTTCATGTGTGTTTTTCATATAAATGTCCAATGAAATCTGCTGGGTTTAGTTGGAATGGGAAAAAAAAATGTGAAAAACTTTAAGGAAACTTTATCTGTCCTCTTTAGTTATACCTTCTTTGATAAATCAGCCCCCTGCTGTGATTAAGATCTAGATGATATTGGTCATTTATACGCATCAGTAGTACATTAACTGGAAATCTGGTATCCTGGTATCTGGTATAAGACAAGGAAATAAAATCCAGTTGAGTATTGCTTCACAATTTAGTTGGAAAACAAATCAGCACTTAAACCTGAATCAAAGCCGACCATGATTATATAAGAAACCAGTGCAGAGGCACGTGCGGTGCCTTAGTTGAACGGAGACATTCTGTATCAGAGGATTTATTCTTACCATTGCTTCTTTTGTTGTCACCATCAGAGCTGCCTGTTCACTGTCTGGCTGCCAGTGTTTGCAGATAGTGTTCAGCATGCAGCAGCAGACAGATGGGTCTATCCACCTCTACCACAATGGAGGCTGTACTTGGTGTGATATTTAAAGTCCATGGCAGGAATGTGGGTCTATCTTGCTTTTTTTCTGACATCTCAGGCTCCTCGCATACAGTACTAACTCTGAATAATATTTTATTTGACAGAGATATCATTTTCATGTGACTTGTAATGAATCAGTATGTATCATGTAAAGCAATATCTGAGATCTAGAAACATGGTGGCAAATTTTAGTATTTCATCACATAAAAGACTTTGGTCATCTATGTTTACTAAAAGATAAATTGTTTAATATATTTACCTTGAAAAATTAGTCCCTCCTAATCCCTACAGCCTGTCTGTTGTTTTTGCTTTCCCTCATAGGCTTTAATAAATCATTCTTACACAGTTTCTTGAATCGAGAAAGTCTAACAAACTGATATATGTTTAAATAGTCATTGAAGAACAGTTTTCAAAGATTAAAATGAAAAACTATATTTGGATAAAACAGGCATGAAACACAGAAGTCTTAAAATAATCAACATAATTCGGAATCTGGTAAACCCATCTAGTTTTGAGTTTTTTAAATCAAACAACTGCTGCTTCCTAAAACAAACAATTAACATGAAAAATCCAACAGAATTAGACCAGTTCTGACTGATCCATTATCTTTCTTATGTAATACAAACTCTCTTTAAGAAGTTGACCATGTGTCTGCCCTAACTTTATACACCAATTTGTTGAATAAGCTGGTAAACTAAATATTATTTATTATCCAATGCGAAGGTTTTCCTGCCAACATGCATGTAGTGAAACATTTCTGACACTGGAGATTCAAGGTGCTGCTTACAGTCTGCACCAGCTCAGAGGAGCTTTGGAAAAAAATCCCAACTGCATCCAGACCTCCATGCACACAGAAGTCACCATCTGCAGTTAGACCTGCTGTGCTCTCCATTGTCTGATTACCCAGCAGCAGTTCATGAGATTTGTTTCTCAAACGTCTCTGAATTGATCATCTTTCTACCGAACTGAATTGCTGTCTATCTCTGATCATTTTTCTGTAACTTCTGTCCTTCCATCCCCGTTGTCCTATGCTGTGCTGTTTATAAATCCATGCACATTTTCACCCTTTTCTCTTTTATCTCTGGCCTTTTTAAGCTCAGGCCAGCATGATCAATAAAGAACAAGTACAGGCTGAACCTGGCTGACTTTTTATCTGGCTGTTCCTGCTGCCTGGGGGCTTTGGTGGGAACATGAAGTAAAAGATGTGAATTCCTGGACTGTTGCAGGAATTTACAGAACCTGGATTTGCTGGTTACTGTCTGCAGACGATTCAGTGAGCTCTCTGAATCGATGCAGTTATCAGCTCTTCTCCCATTGTTCAGTCAGAGCTTTGTTTGTCATTCATGAAGTGTGAACAGAGCAACCAGCCTGTGCAAAGTATGTTTAGCATGTGGCTTTATGTAAGACTAGCATAGCAAACACATGGCTGATGCTTGTACCTGTCTGCAATACTGAATGACCTTAAACCTGTGCATTGGCTCAATTCCTCTGCTGAAGATGACCCTCCATTACTCCCCAACTTCCCTGTTAATGATTCAGCGTAATTAATGGTGTTTACTGTCTCCTGAGCAAAGACATTAGCATAAAGAGCGAGCAGAGATTTCATGAGGGTAAAGGGAGGATGAGGATGGGAGGTAAGGTTAGATGTGGCCAGGAACACATGCAGAAAGAATAAGAACAAGAGGCTGAAGAGAGAACAAGCTTTTATAGGCTGTATAACAGCAGAAAGAACCTTCTTTAAAGATAGACCAACAGGGTTGTAGACACTTTCTATCGAATAATTCAACTTGCAAAAGATTTTGCTGCATTTTCTTCCCTCCATCTTTCTGATCTATTTGCATTTCTTCTCAAATGAATGCTTCCTTTACTCCAAGCTAACTTACTATCTGATAACTGCTAACCTAAAATAATGACAAAACCATTGTCATTAGAATAAGGGACAAAATATAATGAAGTGAAAAGTATTGGTGCACTTGGAGATTTCTTTATTTCTTAATATCTAAAACATCAAGCAAGAAAAGGGTTTCATTTATAAAGGGAAAGTGTCTCTTTCTCTGGTGGTTTTTGGGCCATGGTCAGGTTTCCAGTCTATCACAGATTAACACTGAAACTAAGGATCATTTAGAAGACCGTTTATCAAGTTTAGTAGAATCTATGAGAAGTTCTACTTCTAATTAAAATCTCTTGTTTTATTTATTTGATAAATTTTGCTTTAACTACAAAAACTTTTTTTTTTAGTTAAACATTATTTCTTGTCAGGATTTTTTGTGTTGACTGATAATAGATATTTTTGTATAATAAAGCAAATAAAAGAACCAATTTAGCTAATAGATTCAAGGTTAGTAGAATGTAAAGATATATGATCTTCCCAGTAATGTTTCAGCTCCTCCTCTGAGCCTGGAGGAAGCCCAAAGGAGTTTTATTTGCTTCTTCAAGGGGAGTTGAAGGATGGAGGAGAGCTGAAGTCCCCGCAGTCATTAGGATGCCTCCGCCCTGCTTCGTACCCTTCATCCTCTGCTCTCCCTTAGAGGTCTCCTCTCCTTCTCTTACTGCCCTGGATAAAGGCTGTCCTCTACAGAAACCTCTTGCCCCTCCCTGACACTTTAAAAATCATACAGTATGTTCTGTAGATGGATGATGTTTTGGCTCCAACCTCTGTCCCAGTCAGCTCAAATACTGTAATAAATATAATAAATTAATTTAAGAGGCTAAATACTGAATCTATCTTTCTATCTCTCCTATGCTGCAGTGTGAAGATGGTTCTGCTCTGGACGGCAGGGGACATCTTTAAGACCACCTACTTTGTGATGAATGAAAGCCCAGCTCAGTTCTGGGTGTGTGGTTCAGTTCAGATCCTGGTGGATGTGGCCATCCTGCTCCAGGTGCTGTCTTACAACTCGGACCTGCGGCCCAAGCTTGGTTAAAGGCTGATCAGAAGAACATTGTGAGAGAAGAATCTTTTAATTAAGGGTTAGATTCTAGTTAGAAATATTTTCCTATGTAGGATATGAGAATATGTGGAAAACCAATTTAATATTTTTTTTGTATCCTCTGCTTGGTCTCTGAGACCTAATCAAAATTATTTTTAATGAAACATGATAAGATAATATTTAATCGCATTTATGGTTATTTTTCTACTATTTATTGTCACAATGTGACTTATTTTTCACACCCTTTAGTTTTATTGAGCAAGAAAACCTTTGAGGGAAACATAACTTATATTGGCAGCTCACTAACAGCAGACCTGTGCTGCTGTAATGGCCACTCCAATAACCAGTCTGTCACTGGAACTACTCCACTGGAACCAGCCTTCTGACTGATAGTTCTCCGGCTTCACTCTCATGTCTCCTCCGGACTGTTCTTAACGTGTGCATGTAAATCTGGCTGCAGGCAGGAGCACGCGTGTTGATGTTGTTGCTGCATCTCTGTAGCTGAGATTTATTTTTGCTGTTGAAATCCAGCATCAGTCCAAGGCCAGATGATGCACATCAACTACAGCTTGGTTTGGTGGTTATACATCTGTCTGTTTCTTTGGTCCAGATGAAGAGTAATTCTGCTTTTACCTCCACATTTTGGGCATATGAAAGTTTTAAATCCCAATCACTATCTTTTTAAGAGGAAACAAGAAAAATATTAGGTCTATGATTTGTGTTTTGTATTCCAAATTTAAATGTATTTTCCAGTCCTGGCAGCATAGTAATCAAGTTTGCAGGGAAACCACTCAGGAACAATCAAATATTTATTTCACCCATTCACTGATATGTGTGTGGTTAAGTTTCGGCCTTTTATAAACCTGGGGCAGGTGGTAGTATAACTTAGAATCTCTGTTCCATTAGTTTATTTTATTTGTGTCTTAACTTGATGAAATCAGTGGGAAATCAATCTAAAATTAATTGATTGTTTTTCATTACTCTGATATACTTTTTCTTATTTTATTTTAAAGGGTTTTAACCCATCCGAAGTAAATGCTGGGGAAAAAAAACAAAACAACTAATTCTTTAAACGTTGGACAAAAGTCATAAAATGTTTTTGCCTTCAACAGGTTTTAATATAGGTTCATCCCCCAAAAATTCAGGTAATTTATACGTTCAGTCAGTCTTATTATTCTTATAACTATGACTGGTAAAGTTTAAGAAAAAATTTATAAAATACCACATACTGACAAGGGGCCTTATTTCATGTCTTACAAAAATATGTATTACTTATCGTGGTTTGCACTACTTGATCAATTTTACTGTGCTTGAATTTAGATTGTTCTCCTTTATGATAAATGGAGAAATGCATTCATCTAAGAAGCCTGAGAAATGCAGAACTTAAAGGGGTCATAGAATGCAAAACCGAGCTTACATTGTTATAAATGAATAACGATAGTTCAGTTGGTGAAATGGACGTACAGAGAAGTTCAAACCCCAGCGACACCTCCTTTCTCTGCCAATCTCACAATTCTTAACTTCCACCATGAAACCGGCAAATCCAAACGAAGCCCCGAATTGACCTCAATTTGGAGATGATGCCTTATTTGGTTCTGGCCTGCACCTTTGCAATCCCCCGAAATTTACATACAGACCTGCCCACTGGTTCGCTGGCCCAAGGGAGGGGGGGTGGGGGGTTATGACTGGACCTGACCTCAGCAGAAAGCCACGAGCCGCCCATCCTCAGCCGGAGGAGGGGGGCTGGGGGCCGGTAACAGACATCCCAAGTCTCCCGGAAGTTCTGGGAGTCTCCTTGATATACATAGCTGTTCACGGATGCCCGCAAGTCGGATAAATTATCCAGGATTTTAGACTATGCGAGGTGGTGTTTTTTTTTTACAGTTTTTTTCGATTGCGCAGACATCAAGAGAGAGGGGATTGTGGAGAGGAGGTTGCTTGTGAAACCTGTCCGTATCTGTCCAAAGCGATGCTCTGTTCAACAAGCGTTCCAGGTGACTGGTTGTCAGAGCACGCTGATTGGATTGGTCAGAAAAAGTAAGCCAATAAGTTTGGTTTACTCTCTTACAGTCACCTAGTTACCACTCAAAGCTGTGCATCCTGTGAAATACGTTAAATCCTCCAGTAAAAAACAAAAATATAAGACTCATTTTACAGCAGAATAAACTGAAGTATTTCTGCATCTAGTCAAGGTGAAGAATGATGAAGTGTTTTTGTATGGGGCACAATGCGGGTCGGTTGTCTTCAGCTGCGGCGGGCGGGGCCAGTGGTTTGCACTGTAGTCGACCAAGATCCCAGACGATTTTGAAATTCCCCCGGACATTTTGTTAGGTATGAAAAGTAGGACATGTCTGGGGAAAAAGAGGACTCTGGTCACCCTACCATACCATGTTTCAGTGAGTGAGTGCTTGTTGCTATGATGCGTCTTTGCTCAGCAGCTTCACTCATTGTAAACCAACCAATCAGCGCACAGCTCATATAAATATTCATGAGCATACCATAAAAAGAAGTATACCTGTCGTTTCATTGTAGGGCTTTTAACCAGGCTTGCATTAGGGCTCATAGAACAGCAAATATGCCATTTTCAGCCGAACCAATGTTACACACCATATTCAGAGACCTTAAGCACCAGCACCAAATACCCCATATAATCATTCTACGACCCCTTTAAAGATACATTTTTATGCATGCAAGATATCTTTAAAGTAGCCTTTTTTATCTCTATCCCTGCTTAGATTTTCTTTGTGAACTTCCACAGTCCATTAAGATGACTTGGCAGTCCAACATTTACTGTAGGAGGGAGTGTTTGTCTGCAATGGACTGGCAACTCTGCCTTCAGGCTCATGAAGTGAGAGCTGAAGTAGACCCTCCACCCACCCCCACCTACTCTGAATAAGACCTACCAAGTAAAAATATTTAGACTGGTCATAAAACACAGATTCTGACTAGTTATTCAGGTTAGTGTTTGGTAGAAATACTCCACTCAGAGATGTATCAGCAGAAATTAAGAATAGTGTTCATTGTTAATGCCGATATGCATTTAAATGAAACTAAAAAGAGTCCAACTTCTATGTTACAACATTTTAAAATCAAATTCCTGAGAAGTGCAGACGGTTAACAGATGCAACTGATTCAAAATCTATTTGGTAACAGACACAAAAAAAGATGTCCTGACATCTAAATATGTTATAAAAAATAATGTTTTATTTTGTGACAGGAACAAAGGGTGCTCTTCTTTCCTCATCCTTTTAAACCAGAGGTTTCTAGACAGTCCTTTAAATGAGATTTTATTCTTTTATGATCTGTGAAATGGCCATAATGAAACTTGAAAGTTGGAACTCCTTCATTAAAATGAGGAGTTTATATAAACAGCCTGCTGATGCATCATGTTTCCTTTATGCCGCCCCTTGAAAAGTCATTTAGGAGCTGCAGAGCATGCAAAGTAGTATGGTAACCCAAGCGAGGACGGTTGCTCTGATCATCTTACCTCCCACTTAATTATGTCATCAGCCATGTTTTCCACATACATTCATTATCTCTGCCTCTACAGTTAAACTGGAAGGCTTCAGTTATATTTTGTAACGATCCAGCATTAGTTTAGTGTTCGTCTATTGGTGTTGTAGCTTATGTTCAGCTTGATAAATGTAGGGGTGAAATTAAGCCCATCCAGCAGCTAATCAGCAGTCAGGGCATGTTCCTGTTTAACCAGCCTGATGTATTCAGGTAATAAAAGTATGAGGTTATTAATTCTTTTAGACACCTTTTTAACATAGCAGCTTTGTTCCATCTGTCAGTGTGAACCTGCAAACCTAACTAAATGCCAGCAGTGTTTATTTTCTGTTGATTAAAACAGTCACGCCAAGCAGCTGAACCGTAAGATTGTGTCCTAAATATTCCTGGGTTATGAATAAAACTATGTTAATGTGTTTTAGACGACCAGCTTCATGCTTCTTGTTTTTTGTTTTTTTTTTCCTATTTTTAAATGTGCTTTAGTTTTTCTTGAAATCTGTTTTCTCAGCTCTCATTGTTCGGCAGCTGTTTTCTGCATTCTGTGCACACGTTTCAGCAGATGCGTATCTCTTATATTGTTTCACCCCCCAGCAGAGGCTCAGGTCAGCACCCTGCCTGCTGGCTTTACATGAACATTTTGATACTGTCTGGCTTTTTCTTTTCAAGGGCAGTGTGAGAGATGATTACACTTGCATTCTGGTTTAGTAAATCCGTCTGTGTTAAAGGTCACAATATGCTAGATGCGTTTTTATTTTCACAGCTAAAACTGTTATAAAAATGTGTCTGGGACTGTTCTGATGCAGAACCCTGCAGAAATATTCATACCCTTGAACTTTTACACAAGCTGTAAATATCTGTGTTTATTTGTTAGAGGTTTTTGATTTTTTTTTTTTTATCACAGAAAAAATAGTTTAATTATGAAGTGGAAAATAAATTGAAAAAATTTTTTTCTTTTCTTCCACAAAATACTTTGTAAAATTTCCTTTAGCCTCAGGTCTTAGGGTTCGTCTCTCGGTGTGTTGCACATCCACAGGCTGACTTTCTTTCCCACTCTTTTTGTACAAGAACTCAGGCTCAGTCATGCTGGATAGAAAACATAGATGAAAAACAGTTTTTAAATCTTGACTTGGTTTGTCAGTTGGATTTAGGCCTAGACTTTGACTGCTTTGAGAAAAAGATTATATTTCACCCATCTGGATTATATACTGTATATCATTTATCTGAACCTTTCGTGGTATTTTTTTATTTATTCCGAGGTATTTCATTATAAAAGGGCTGATTACATTTGTACCTGTTTCAAGGTTCTATTTCAAGCATGGCATTTTTTCTTCTCAGTTGTTTTGTGTTACAGGGAAGTTTGTGTTTTTAAAGAAACAGAGGGTTTGAATACTTTTGTGTGTACTCCTTTTGATTGTAAATGTTCTTCTTTAAATGTTGAATTATTTGGCCAAAGCAAAGTACGTAAAATAAACAATATTTATTTGTTGCTGTTTTTATTTCTACTTAATGTATTTTGTTAAAAGTTCATTTCAAATTTGTTTTGGTTTTTGTTCACCTTTTTAGATGGAAATATTTAAGTGGCTGCAAAATAAAAAATAAATTAAAAAGCCATGACATTAGTGAATACCATCAGAACCTCAATGCAGTATTGCACTCAGTGCATTTAGATGTTTTAAATATATAAAAAAAGAGAAAGTTTAATTTTATTTTTAAAATGGTAAAATCTGCTATTTAGGGTTTCTTCACTGATATAAAGTGCCAATGTCAGGGGGAACATTGAATTCCTTTATTTGAAAGGGCAAAATATAAAATAAGTCATGAAAATGGTTGAAGCAGAGCTGAGATGGATTTGTTTGTTGGAAACCAGAGGGAAATTAATGATTGTATGTTAATAGTGACGTCTGTCTTCAAGACTTAAGTATTCTGCACCATCTTTAGAATCACTCACCGAGAGTCACATCGTTCACAGAGAGTCACTGACATTCAGCAGTGTGCAAGAGGAGTGCAGTATAGATGGTAAAATATTAAAGTGGTTACAGTGAAGCTCACTATGGTTTATAGATGGGTGTGATTCATACGACAGGCTGTGTGGCTGAGCTGGCTATGGCATTTATTAATTAGTTTACTACGAGTCAGGCAGTGTATCTTATTATAACCCATTGATGGTCTAATCTTTGTGACTTATGCATCTTCTCTGCATAGCTGACAAAAAGGTAATGAGTCCTCCTGTGATGAAGTTGGGCTATTTCAAAATAAATCTTGCTCCTAATGGAGCTGTTTGGCTGCTGCGATCTTCTCCTTTCCTGTCCCGGTGTCCACTCATCTGTCAGCTGATCATCCCACACGTCAGCCTATACTGTGGTTTGTTTAATGATAAATGAGCCGGACTAAAATAGTCTACCTGCTTGTCCTGTCCCTGATAGGCTCCTCCATGTATTAATAATAGTCTCATTGTGGAACAATTATGCACCTTTCCTG